TTTGTTCCCAGCATGCAGTAAACTACGAACTGGAAAAACTCAATCAGCCAAAAGAGAAAATGCACAAAGTTGATATTTGAGTTGACATTTTTATTGGCGAATGGGAAACAGTTAAGAATGTAGATATTGGTTCATTTTCAATAAGTGTTCATCTACATCTAGTGACTTTCTCCTAGGTTGTTTTAAATATTGCTGGATAACTGCCATAATTTTTTTTTTTTTGCTTTATTTTCTTACATGTAGTTTCACATGGTTCAGTGGGAAAAAATGCTGCTATCAAGTATGCAACTATTGAAGTATGATGATTTGACTGTATGGCAGTGTTGTAGCAGCCTTTTGTTTTTCTGTTTTTTAACCTTTGCTGTAGAGTGTTTTGTCAGTCTTCAATAATGAAAGCAATATTAAGAAGACACTATTGATATCTAATTTTTAATCTTTTTAAAAATCTTCCTGTGTTCAGTAACCCTCTGGTCCATGCTGTTGTCTAGCCTCTCTAAAACGTACACATTGCTTGGAACGTTCACAGTTTGCGTGTGTGGAAGCAGAAAACGTTGCTGTATTCTACATTGCTACCATTTTTTATAAAAAAAAAAATAATAATAAATTGGTAACAATTGAAATTTTAGCTTGGCTTGTTATTTTAAAGGCTTCCAGGTTTGCTAACAGTTATAGGAAGGCTGGCCTGTGTATTTAAAAGTTTCCAATGGGTGAAATTCAACCCAGACAGCTGTAAGCTAGGGCTCAGTATCACCAAAACTAAGGGCTGGCCTACACTGACGCTTTACGTAACTGAAGTTGATGTGACTTAGGTTGACTTATGGCGGTGTCTACACTGCGCTGTATCAACGGAAGATGCTCTCTTGTCGACATAGCTTCCACCTCTTGGGGTGCTGGAGTACAGATCGACTTAGCGTGTCTTCACCAGACCAGCTAAATCAACACCGCTCCATCGATTTCACCGGGAGGGCAGACATGGCCTTTAATGTCCTAGCCCTGTGCCAGTCTCAACACCACTTCATTTAAAGAGAGATCCAAACCACCCCCATGTCAATCAATTGCTCGATCCAGACAAAATTACAGGGCACACACCCACTGTGCAGAGCCAACATAGGCATGCCTCTACGTAACATGCCATAGCAAATGCCCTGGGATATTTCTTTGATTTCTGTATTGTAAATGCTCTTGAACAGGACAGATTTGAATTTAAACTTGCAATAGTAAAAACCAGAGAGCTAACCTACAACTTGAGAGTTCAATGGAAAAACCACTCTTCTTTGCATGCAGTTAGAGGCATTTCCCTGTTCTCACTTTACTGTGAGTTAACTTTTGGGTTGAAATGCATTATTCTTAGGCCATGTCTACAGTTACTGGTAGATCAGCACTGCTGCAATCAATGCAGCAGGTGTCGATTTAGTGGGTCTAGTGAAGACCCACTAAATCGAAGGGAGAGCATGCTCTGGTCAACTCCGATACTCCACCTCCCTGAGAAGAGTAAGGGAAGTCGATGGGAGAGCATCTCTTGTTGACGCAGCACGGTGTAGACACCGCAGTAAGTCGACCTAAGCTACATCGACTCCAGTTGTTATTCACGTAACTGGAGTAGCGTAACTTAGGTCACCTTACCATGGTAGTGTAGACAAGGCCTCAATCATCTCAGGAGGCAGGAACCTCCTGGATCCTAGCAAGTTTAGACTTACAGCTATCATACAGTGCAGAGCCATGCATATGCTAGCTGTAATTTGTCACCTGAACCATGACTTGTAGCGCTACTTCAGTAACTGGCACATTATAGTGTGTATGTGTGTCTGCGCACGTGTGTGTGCGCGTCATCCTAAGAAGAATAAATTAGGGCAGTAGCACTGAGGCACCGGAGTATAAAAGCCAAGCAGGTTTATGTCCAGATTTCACATGTTCAGCTCCTTCACGTGCGGCCAGGCTTGTGAAAGTCTAGCACTCAACTTGCTAACTTCTTCTGAAAAAGGCAGCCCTTTTGTCTCCACATACTTCTTCTCGTCCATCTTCATTCAGTCCTACCTCCTCTGACAGCATTTGTCTCCTGCTTAGGCAAACTTTTAAATAACCTGGTCCAGTAAGGCTGCAACTGTGCCTGGTAATTTCTGTGGGTAGCAGTCCATCTGCACAAATTGCAATGCAGGTTACTGTGGGAATCTTCTACAACTGAATTCCCTCACTTGAAACTGACATGTATTAACCTAAGCGTTGCATATTTTAGTAGAGGGAATCTTTCATAGACTTAATCAGTTTGACACTCAATAGGAATAACAAATCAACCCAAGGAGCTGAATGCTCTATCCACGAGGTAGCAAATATTTTGGTTAGCAGCAGTGGCGATGTAGCGGTATTAGAGCAGCACAAAGAAGGGAGCTAGCTCATTTAACAAGTGCAACACGCGTTGAATTACACAAGAGCCTGAACTTGTACGACCTTTTACATTCAGATAAAGTGCCTGCCCCCTCTCATGCAGAGATCTTCCTGTAGAGACAGTCATGATAATGGGGTTTAATGGAGTGGGCTCACAGTTTTGTCTTTCCCTGTGCAGGGAAAAGTAAGACTAGAGCTGGTCAAAACTCCTTGGTGAAACTTTACACAGACTCGACTCCCTCTCCCCCAAAAGCAGGTCTACCTAACTTACTGTGGCTTCATGTTTCCAAGTATCAAATCTCTGAATGTTTTATATGGCAACAATCAAGGCTGTGATCTTGCCAACTGCCTGTATGGGCACATGCGGCTCCCGCTGACTTCATTTCGCTGCAGGATCAGGGGCACAGATTTGTACAGAGTTCCAGCACAGACCTAGGCAACCTGTAGATTTCTGTAGACATTTTATAATAGCTAATTGACCTAATTCTCTGGGGTGCACTGGCCTAGCTCCACTCAAGTGATTACAAGAGGGCAGTTTACAGCAGCTGAGGAGCTAACCCAGTGTTTCCAATTTGGATTCAAGTTTCCAGTGATTTACAGTAACAAGGGAAATCTCAATGATAAATCACATAACTCTGGTGGCTGTAGCGGACTACCAATTTAGGTATTTTTCTGTATACGCAGTGTAAGTATGCTCAGAAACATGACTGTTCACATTCGTGTGCCTTATACTCCGTATATGTGCTATGATAGGCCCTGGAGGCTAGATTCTCCTAAATCAACATCAAGATGTCCCATTTTCAGTTTAGCATCAAAGCTTTAGCTTTTATGAACAAAGCCATTTTTCCATCTTCTATATTTAAGGCTTAAGATTTGTCCCAGCCCGCTCCAAAAATTAGCGCTAATAAAGTTGTATGGGGCAAGAAAAAATATTCAGTAAATGAAGAACCTTGCTGTTTTCTCCAGCTGCTCTGTCTGCAGGCAAATATAAGTTGCCTTCCATTAAGCGCTGGATCGTATTTACAAATGCAACCCAACTCTGACAATAAAGGCAAGTTTAAAGGCACTCTTCGACATGAGCTGGTGGCTTGCTTATTGTAGCAACCAGGCAATACTGTTGCTACATAAGTGATCCTCAGCTGTTATAAAATCATCATGGTGCTCAACAGAATAATTGATAGGGATTTACAGCTGCTGAAGAGTTGGCCCACTCCGCAGATAATAGGTTTGCCCATTACTGAGGGAAATTAGCAGTTCCACTTGGTGTTTCCAGGAGTTACAGACCAGTGAAGCCACAAGGTCCAGTATTCAGCAGCTCTGGAATGCTGTAGCACAGGTGACCCACTCCTGCGTACGGCAGCAGACGCTTGGGAATTACTGATGGCACGATGAGCTAAGCCAGTAAAGGCCTGAGCCAAAGCCCACTGAAGTTAATGCGAGTCTGCAGGGAGCTTTGGCAGCTGTCAGGATGTGCAAGTTGCTGGTTCTGCTGTGGAGGCCAGCGAGCAAGATGAACAGAGACCATGTGCCCTAAGGCTAACTTTCCACACCCCACAGAAGGGGGAGCACTGGGAAGAGAGAGTCCTGCAGCACGGAGAGCCCTATACAGCAGGCCCGAAGAACGCATGCATGTGTGTATGGAGGGGATGGGACACAGTGGAATGCCTTCCCCGCACCAGTCCGTCTCCCCACCTTGGTTGGGCAGAGCAGCTGTTTCTTCAGCTTGCTGGGTTGCAGTGAGCCGGCGCTGGAGGCTGAGCACTGGACTATGGAGCAAAGGGGGCAGACCTAGATGCACATAAAACCCCTTGAGTTATTCTGCCATTTCCTGGATCCCCTTGTGTACTGGTTTGAGCATTGGGAGTTCTACGCTGTAGCGATTGTGATATTCCCTGCATATAGAGTTACTGCCCTTCAATTGCACGTCTGGGAAGGCTGCCGTTCTAACAGCCACCCCCTTTCTTGGGTCCACACTCTAGCACATGCCTACTGAATTCCCAGCGCTATAATTCTCAGCCATCAAATTGTGTCTTCACCCACAGAAATTAAACTCAGGGTAAAGTCTCAAACTTTGGAAAGATTTTTCACAAGAGCCAATGCAGAAGGGATCTGATTGGAGCCTCCATATCACTACACAAACCAGTCCCATTTTATACTCCGGATCAGGCTTTCAGATACGGGACGTGAAGTTCTCTTTGGCTGAGATTTTGAAAGGAGGCCAAGAGAGTTTGGTGAAATTCAATGGGAGTGGCGCACTTAACTACCATAGGTGCCTTTGAAAATCCAATTCCTTGATCCCTCACCATGGTTGCTAAAAAAACCTGACTTTCAAACATGTTGAGCACCCAGCATCTCCAACTGAAGTCGGAAGGAGCTGCTGCATGCCCAGAACATTTGAAAATCAGGTTATCTACTAAGAGACTTAAATATGGACATAGGAACCTACAGGCAGATGGCTATTTTCAGACGTCTTGGCCTTTCGGGTGGGCATCTTCTAGGCGCATCTGACCGCTTATCTGGACTCCGAACTAGTCAGTGTCTGCTCTTCCAGGAGCCATACAACAGACACGCAGACATTTTGGTTCTGGGTGATCTAGTGAGGACACACTCACAGATCGCAGGGTGGGCAAATCAACTTTAATACCCGCAGGTGGAAGACAGCAAAGGACCTAAAACATATGGGGCTTTATCCTTTTAAAATAAAGTCTCCGGAAAGTTACATTCTGAACGTCATTGCCACAGTTAGCATACGACAAGCCCTGTGTAATCACCGAAGGAGTCCGATTGGTGGCTTAAGCTAATGATTCATTCTTATTCAAGCCAAAAGGAAGTTACTGTAAACATCACATTCGCTAAGTGTGCAGCTTTCCTGATACCACTTCACCAGAACATGGCCCTGATTACGCATGGGTATTGCAGCATGCGCCTCATTTTCAGCATATGCCTAGATCAACAGGACCACGAACAAGTTGAAGTCCCTGGCTGAACCACGGCCTAACCAGAGACAAGCGTGGCCAATGGGAACAGCAAATCTACTCCGTTTTCTTTTTCTTTACAATCCTACCGCATTTCTTACAGCAAAACAAGCAGCACCTGACAGCAATGAAAACAGCAACTGCTGCGCAGACGAGCAAGAACGCCAGGACGTCCAGGCAGTGATACTGGTACCAGGTGAGCTCGTGAGCTGCTGGTCTCAAGTGCTTTGCCCCTTGGTGGCGCATGACAAATTCGATCCAGAAGACAGCTCGGTCCAGAGGCTTTATGGGCTGGTCGTGGTGAATCTCAGATAACCTCACTGCATTTTCTTTATAGCTGAAGGAATGGGGGGAAACCAAAACAACGTGGTGGTTATTCTGAAACAGTGCTTTCCTCAGCACAGCTACAGGATGGGGCAACTTGCAAGCAAAGGGATCACTGACCTGGCTCCCTGCTCCACACTACAGGGTCAGGTCAATGTAAGCTGCCTTGTCTCGACCTAGCTGTGGAAGGGGGAGGGATAGCTCAGTGATTTGAGCATTGGCCTGCTAAACCCGGGGTCGTGAGTTCAATCCTTGAGGGGGCCATTTAGGAATCTGGGGGGAAAAAATCTGTCTGGGGATGGGTCCTGCTTTGAGCAGGGGGTTGGACTAGATGACCTCCTGAGGTCCCTTCCAACCCTGATATTCTATGATCTAAGCATCTTCACTTAAATTTGGCGCCCACCGACGTAAGTGCCTCTCTACGCCGATTTATTAACACCCCCTCCCCGAGCGGTGGAGAGTCACGGTCGATGGCATTAGGTATGAAAGGAGACTCGAGGAGCTCGGTTTGTTTACCCTAACCAAAAGAAGGCTGAGGGGGGATATGATTGCTCTCTTTAAATATATCAGAGGGATAAATACCAGGGAGGGAGAGGAATTATTTCAGCTCAGTACTAATGTGGACACGAGAACAAATGGATATAAACTGGCCGTCGGGAAGTTTAGGCTTGAAATTAGACGACGGTTTCTAACCATCAGAGGGGTGAAGTTCTGGAACAACCTTCCCAGGGAAACAGTGGGGGCGAAAGACCTCTCTGGCTTTAAGATTAAGCTTGATAAGTTTATGGAGGGGATGGTTTGATGGGATTTTAGTCAATAGGTCAATAACATGCCATCGCAGGTAATTAGTATCAATGGTCAATGCGGGTCTGGCTGGAGAATCTTGCCCACATGCTCGGGGTTCTGCTGATCACCATATTTGGGGTCGGGAAGGAATTTTCCTCCAGGGTAGATTGGCAGAGGCCCTGGAGGTTTTTCGCCTTCCTCCGCAGCATGGGGCAGGGGTCGCTTGCTGGAGGATTCTCTGCAACTGGAAGTCTTTAAATCATGATTTGGGGACTTCAACAGCTGAGTCAAGGGAGAGAATTATTCCAGGAGTGGGTGGGTCAGCTTTTGTGGCCTGCATCATGCGGGAGGTCAGACTAGATGATCATAATGGTCCCTTCTGACCTTAAAGTCTATGAGTCAATGCAGTGTCAGTGCAGACACTGCATTGCTTACGGTGACTGCTACCGGCTTTCAGGAGCCATCCCTCAATGCCCCACACTGACAATGCAGTCGATAGAAGCGCTCCTGGTGAGGACGCGCACCGCCGACACAAGGAGCCAAGTGTGCGCACACAAGCGATTTAATAACTGCGGTGACTGCTGACATAAGTTAGGTTGACTTAATTGTGTAGTGTAGGCATGGCCTCAATCAAGATGTAAAGTGAGCTGAAAAGATGAACTAGCCCCAATTTGCTATTACATAATGAGACTTCTTCAGAGGGTTCGCCACAAGACACTCCTAGCGTCCAGCTTTTTCTATTGTCATTTTCCCTTGCAAAAAATACTTCTGGGAAGATAATTTGCAGGGTTTTCCCTCCTGATCTGGTGTTTCGTAGCTTGAGACTGGTGGAATTCCCCCAGTGCCCTATGGACAGTGGTAGCAAGTCGGGAAGCCAAGACGCAGTGTCACAAACTAGCCAAGAAGGAAGTTTGCCCATGGTCGCATGTGTGCATTGGAAATTGGCTGGGTGACTTCATTCGAACTTGCTGCAAGAAGGGAGCAGAAAACTACACAATCTCAGGGGCTGCTCCAGGGCCTTTTCAGAGGGATCTTTCCCAAAGAGATCACAAAATACAATGTGAGGGAAACTGATTTCCTGTCCACCCCTTCCAGGAGCTGCTGCATGCTCAGATAGAGACATGCTTAATGCAAGAACCTTTGTGAGGTTACCACTTGTTTTATGCCCAGACTGTTCAGCATTTTTGGTGAAAAGTTCCCAGAAGAGAAAGCCAGCTGGGTTTCTCGCCTCAACAGCACTGTTTCAGTAAACTGACCCTGTCCCATTAGAGATACAAGGTAATAAAAGATATTCCCTCGCCCACCTTGTCTCCTTAGGATCCTTGAACCAACACAGCTACCACAACCCTGTCCCATTAGGCAGAGACTGAACTCACCTGGAGTTGTTAATGACCATATTCAATGCATCGATTAAATCCTGGGTTTGCATTGTGTTAAAATCCAGTTCGACTGCCATCCCTTTCGCCTTCATGTGAGCAATGTTATCCGGCTGGTCAGCGAACATGGGAATCCCAACCATGGGAATCCCATGGTAGATCGCTTCATAGATCCCGTTGGTTCCACCGTGAGTAATAAAGGCTTTGGTCTTGGGATGGCCTGGAATAGGAGGAGAGAAGTGTTTAGGAACAATGGGTACATAAATGCTCAGATTCCAGAGAAAAGGCAACAATTTTGGACTAACTAGGTAAATAATGGTTTGTTTGACAAGGGGCTAGTCCTGATTACTCCAGATTAGCATTAGGAACGGATAATGGGGTGTACATGCTCGAACCCTAGCCAATGGGGAAGTACCTTGCAAAACTTTACAAACTCTGCTGTTGATCTACGATTAAGGCTGACCCAGCAGGAAGTTCTATTTCATTCACACCGATCCCTGCCCAGGTTACACTGCATGGGTGGAGCTGGAGAAGTGGGTCTCCTGGAGCCAGGCTGGCTCACATAGAATCATAGAATATCAGGGTTGGAAGGGACCTCAGGAGGTCATCTAGTCCAACCCCCTGCTCAAAGCAGGGCCAATCCCCGGACAGATTTTTGCCCCAGATCCCTCAATGGCCCTCTCAAGGATTGAACTCACAACCCTGGGTTTAGCAGGCCAATGCTCAAACCACATGTTCTGGGACTGGGACACAATCCTTTTAGCTAAAAGTAGGCAGGAGGGTTACAATGATGATAGATACAGAACCTCCCTAAAAACTACTTCCTGAAGTGTGCTTTGGGATCTATCCCATCAACTGGGCAACTCTCTCTGGGCGGGTACCGTTTCAGAGAAGAGGGACCTCAGACCAAGTATTTTCAAATTGGTTAAACTTTTTGAAAACTTTGACTAATCCCTAGAGGATGGAAACGGAGATGTTACTCTCCTTCCCCCGCCCTTTCTTTCCTTTCCTTCACTTCTTTGCTCTTTTTACTCCCCCGTTCTCCCCTTATTTTTGTAAAAAAAGATTCAACAGAATACAAATAAAAAGAGAAAGGCAATGGCTGCCTTCTAGATACTTATGTTTAAATGCTACACCCCAGTTACTGGGCCTGTTTCACTCCCGTTTATCCCAGTGTAACTCCAGTTTTTGCATCACTTCTGCTGCCCTTCTTTGTGTTTACTCTAGTTTTTGTCACAGGAGCCACCCACACTGATTCCAAGGGTAGTGGCACCAGGACAAAGTAATGTTGTTATCTCTGGTTTTATGGCAATGCTATTTCGGTCCATACAGCTGAGGACAGCACTGGCTGGTTTCAGGACTTCAGACCCAAAGCTGCTACCTGGATAGGGCTTTACTGTCACTTCCACTTGGCTCACTGCTTTCCTAACAGTCAACTGTGCAGTTTACACCCCACTGCCCCAGGAGAAGACTCTCCACTTGTCCATACTGAGTCTCAGGTCATTGCCTGGTCCACTCTCTCCATAGCTCTGGTCCCCATCGCGCTCGTCTAACTGAGCCTACGTAGGCCAGCAGCAAGCTTTGAACCTGGGACACACAGAGCTAGAAGAACAAGTCTTCACTGCTGAAGCTAAGCTACTAAGGGCCAGTGCCACACAGGTATTCAGGCTTCTAAAGTCCACTGTTATCAGTGAGAGTTAAGCACCTTAGTACCGTTTGTGAACCCTATCCTTGCTCTGCGACCATCACGAGTGTAATTAAGGCTGAGTAAGCACCTCTCCCTAGATAACAAACACACTAAGTACCCTGGCCTCCAAGCGACCTCTGAGGTACTGCATTTGGCTACAGGATGAGCTTGTGTATAATGGGCCATCTAGTCTCTTTGTGTCATAAATGAAATGAGTAAAGGGGGGAGGGAACACGCTTGTCAATACTGAGAAAAGCTCAGTTAGGAACATTTCCAGCATAGAGACTTACCAAGCAGGTCATTCTGGGGTATCCAGTCATAAATCCTCGTGTTGGGTCCTAACGTTTCTGGTTTCTTCCCTTTGTACCTCCAAAGGACCTTGAATGAAAATGTTTGAAGATACACGTGCTGTAGTTCAAGCTGCACTGTCGCACGGCAATGCAGTCTGGGGCCTGATCCAAAGCCCACTGACGTCTACTGGAGTCTTTCCATTGATTTCAGTGGGTTTAGATCAGGCCCTTGTTTAGCAAGGCTTCTTTTGAGCTGCTTGCGTTATTTACATCATAAGGGATTCTACTATTGATTAGATCTCTCACACAGCGCTTTTCAACATTGCTCTCAAAGCGCTTTGAGAGCAGTTTCATTATCCCCATTGTACAGATGGGGAAACTGAGGCATGGGTGGGGAAGTGACTTGCCCAAGGTCACGCAGCAGGCCCGTGGCCAAACCAGGAATGGAACCCAGTCCTGCTCTCTATCCACTAGTCCACACTGCCTCATTGCGGCATGGGAACTCACCCCACATGGTTTTGTTCACATGAGTCATATACAAGAAAAATACTATCAAGTTAATTTCTGTGACCACTCAAGACTCAACCCTGCTTCTTTGCAAGCCCCAAACCCAGTGACTTCAATTGGAGCTGCAGGAGAAAAATCAGAGCACTTCTATTGAGGGGAAGTAAAGAGCCTACCTTTAGGCAAGGCAGTTTGAAAGCTGTGGCCTGAGGGATTTTGCAGCAGCGCTGCTGATCTTGTTGGCAGGAATGCAGTTCATTGACAGAAACTGACCTTTTGTGGAATCTGGCTGAGGGCCAAGGCAACCATGTTACTTTTCTCCTCAGTTAAGTTGTAAACCATCGAGCCAAGAGAAAACACCACGATACCATGTTCCCCTGAACTCTGGACAAACTCTTCCATTTCCTGAAGAGAGACAAGAGCCTTTTAATTTTGGAAAGCAGCCACACCGCCCAGTGCTGTTGTGTTCTGTTCACGGCACACCTACGAAATAAAACCGAAATACTCTAACCTGAAAGTCTAAGCGCAACACTATTTTTATCCTTAGACTCCAGAACTCTCACACACAACAACCTCAGGGAGAGAGGCACAACCCAATTCACCATGCCCTAGGCTGGCTCTTTTGCAGACTGACTGCTGATCTCAGCTTCCCTACAGAGTGGTCTGCAAGCAGGAGCAGAAAACCCCTTAAAATGACAAGCTATCACTTTAAATTCTAACCCACTTTTCAATGCACTGCATATTGAAGTAGGTGAAAGGTACTCAGTAGAAATACACATGGCAAGAGACATATTTATGTAAATACAAAGCTTATCAAAGAGACGGCTAAAATGTTATTTGCTCATGGTCTCTAAGTACCTACATGGGGAAATTTCTTATAGCAGAAGGTTCTTTAATCTAGCTGACACAGGTATAACGAGCCAATGGCTAGCGATTGCGTGGGTAGCTGGTTTAACAAAGCTTTCATCATCATCGTTTGTTAGCTGTTCAGCACAGATACATGCCTGGCACCCAGCAGTTCAATCTGCCCATCATTCCTATCTGACTCAGGCGACGTCTACACTACACACCACGTTCGTCGGCGCGTAGCGTACATGCAGCTACACGCTGCAGGGAAAGGCAGCGCCACGTCCATGCTGCGGGTGTCAGAGAAAGGGCTCTGGCAGAGGGGAGGCAGCCAGGAAAGGCTCAGTCTGTCCCTGCTGTTTTTCCCCGCTGCCGGAGCCTTTCCCGGCTGCCGGAGCCTTTCCCTGCAGCGGGGAACAGGCAGAGCCTTTCCCTGTGGAGGGAGGGAACAGTTGGCGCCTTTCCCTGATGCTTCCCCCCGCCAAAGGCTCCAGCGGCCAGATGTGATGCTGCTAAAAACAGCAATATAGATGTGGGAGGCACAGCTTGGGTGAGTAGAGCGCCATGGGATGAGGAGTGTACTCGGGTATTTTTTCAGCTGAGCAGTGGATTCACTACTGGGGGGAGGGATAGCTCAGTGGTTTGAGCATTGGCCTGCTAAACCCAGGGTTGTGAGTTCAATCCTTGAGGGGGCCGGGAGGGACAAAACAAACAACTGTCAGGGACAGTACTTGGTCCTGTAGTGAAGGCAGGGGACTGGACTTGATGACCTTCAAGGTCCCTTCCAGCTCCATATATTACTGCTATGCCTTAACAACCCTCTCCCCCATAAGGATCCACAGGTGGGTCCTACACGTGGTGTACCTCATCCAATGCACTAAATATCTCAACAACAGTTATGGGGGTGAAACCAGACAATCACTACACTCTCAAATGATCTCACACAGGGAAATGATAAAAGAGAAAAACACCCTGTCACCTGTGGGTGAACACTTTTCACAGAACGATCGCTCCATATCGGAGCTCTCAGCCTCAAAGGAAACCTGCTCAACACTTTCAAAAGATGAGCCGGGAAGCTTAAATTCATGACTCTGCTAGAGACTAAAAATCAGGGACTGAACAGAGACACTGGACTTATGGCTTATTACAACAATCTCTAACCCCCTAAATGACACCCCCCCCAGATGTTTCCCCCCCCCTCCTTTCCTCCCTATCACCAGAGAGATGTTAACAGGTCACTTCCCTTCAAATGGTCACTTGACATGTGGTAGTTATTTATGCTAAACAATCTGTTCCATTTAGCTGGGACACTCTGTTTCCCAGACCTGAAGAAGAGCCGTGTGTGCCTGGAAAGTTTGTCTCTCTCGCCAATAGAAGTTGGTCCAATAAAATATATCCCCTCCCCCACCTTGTCCCCCCAGCAGGCAGACAGGCGATGGACTACAGGCCAGCTCCTGAGCTGGAGTAAATTAGCACAGCTCTGGAACTGGCCCTGTATTTTCAAATCAGCAATGGCGCATCATCCAACAGTGCAGTGATGCAGAACAGATTTCTCTTGCCCAAAGCGGACATTGTTCTCAGCGAGCGCCCCAGGATATGGCACACCCTGCGTGTGGAAACCAGAGAAACAAACAGCTGTTGAGCTGATGGGCAGATGACTAGACCAAGGGAGAGTATTAAGGTACCTCAGGTAAAGGCTTTGCAGGCTTGCAGTGGAGTCCCCCGACAAACTCAAAGTTAGGCAGGAAAGGGCGAGGGAATTCAAAGTCCCAGTACGTTCGGATCAGCCACATCTCTGCTTTGCCCATCGTTTCACACAGCGTCGTGGGCCTTCCTGCAAGCAAAAGATAAGGAGTTAAAATGAGCCGCAGGAGGGAGCAGTCTTGCTCATTGTCTATTGAAACATACCAGCCCTACATCTGAGACCCAGCACTCCTGGACACTGTTCAGTGCCGCGTGGCCTAGTGAACAGAACTGGGATTCAGGAGACCTGGGTTTTGTCACAGCTCTGCCGCTGGATTGTTGTATGGCCTTGGGCAGGTGACCTCAACTCTCTTTCCCCTCCCATCCTTCAGTCTGACACACTGCAGCGCCATTGATTTACCTTAAACTGGGTTTGTTCAAATGGTGCAACTGTGTGTCTGGACTTTCTTAGAACTTGTTTTAGTCACATCTATCAGCTGAACTGGTGCCTGTACACTTCTGTATGTAAAGTGAATCAATAGCAGTGGCCACACAACGTTACAGAGGCTTAACTAAATTGGTATAAAGTTACCCCTTTAGCTGAATCGCTACAACTGTGTGTTTAGACCAGGCCTTAGATTGCAAACTCTTCAGGGCAGGGATTATGCATTTGTCCAGGGCCTAGCACAGGGGACACTAGCTGCTACTCACAAATAAATAATAGGGAACTTTGTCTAGAGTCTCAATCACGCCGATCACAGCTAGGAATGAAGATTGTCAATGATGCAGCCCCATGTCCTGCCCTGTTCAGAGCTGAAGTGCTGACTAACAGGATTTTCCACCCACATGACACCATGATACAGTAAACTTTGATCATGACACAGGTTAGTTAGTATGCAATGTTGTTGTAGCTGTGTCGGTCCCAGGATACTAGAGAGACAAGGTGGGTGAGGTCATCTCTTTTATTGGACCAACTTCTGTTGGTGAGAGAGACAAGCTTTTGAGCTACACAGATCTTTCCTTCAGATCTGGGAAAGGTACTCAGGCCTGGTCTACATTACACGGTTAGGTCAATGTAAGCTGCCTTGCGCCGACCTAAGTGTGGAAGTGTCTTCATTTAAATTTGGCTCAGTCGACCTAAGTGCCTCTCTATGCCGAGTTAGTAACACCATCCCCACAGGCCGCCCACAGGGCATCCCCGCCCGGAGCCACTGATCTTGCTGCAGAGCACAACCTACCGAACTGGAGAAGGGGAGCGGTGGGGAGGCAGGGAAGACTCTGCTAAAGGAGCCAATAAGTTCAACAGCACTCCCAGCAAACTGCTCCCCTGCTGGGCAGCTGATAATCATATAGGCGTTTGCTCTCCTTTCTGCATAGAGACAGTTTGGAAAACAGTCCATAGCTGACAACACTATAAAGACCTCTCAAATCATCAGGCTACAGCACGTCTGTACTTTGCTGGGCCAAGCGTTCTATTGGGCTCGCAATGCTTACCCACATCTTTAAAGTGTGTTGGGATCTACAGATAAAGCACTACAGACATATACATCATTGTTAGTAGCCTTATCTTTTTCAGATGGGTTAACTAAGGCCCGGCGAGGGTCAGGGACTTGGTTGGCAGGGCCACTGGCCTAGGGATTAGGGTATTGGCTGCTTTCTGTCTGATACTTAATTTGCTCTGATCATTGATCACTTTTTCCTGATGTTGAGAGGGAAGGCAGGCTGTGCTGCACATGCCTCGCCAGTGTAGGCCTCAAGCCTGCACATACAACTTCACTCCAGGAAGTTGTCTCAATGCGCAAAAATGTCAAAAACTCCCACCTCACAGGGCTCTGGAGCCCAAGCTCCAGTCTGGGCCCAAACACTACACTGCAATTAAACATCCCCACAGCCCACGTGAGCCCAAATCAGCTGGCATGGAACAGCCGTGGGTTTTTAACTGCAGTATAGACATATCCTAAGTGTCTTAGGGTTAGATTTTCAAAGGTATTTAAGTGCCTAAAGATGCAGCTAGGTGGCAGTGTGGAATTTATAGATCTGTCTAGGCAGGTTAGGTGTTTAACTCCCATTGAAACTCAAAGGGACAAACTCACGAAAGGTGCTTTTATAAATCCTGCTAAACGCCTAAATTCCCTTTGCCAATCGGATCCTTAGTCATTTTCAAAAATGTGCTTGAAAATGTTGCCTATTGACGGCACTGGAACTAGTATATGGTCATCATCTTTGCAGGATCAAGTCTTCAAGTTGCTATCTGAAAGCCTGGTCTTACCTCTCATGTCCATTACAAAACTCAAGCACTTACAAGCAAGGAAACGAGTATTTAAGATCACAGCTCTTACATTGCCCATATAATAAACAAACATTATTCTTATAATATACAAGGTAATTAAGATATCAGCACAATCTGGCCCCAATTCCGGAAAGCACATAAACACGTGCTTAGCTCCCATTGACTTCAAGTTAAAGCACATGCTTAAGCACCCTTCTTGAGTAGGGATACTTTACTGAATTGGGGGCTTAACTTTGACCCTGTGCCTCATGTAGATACTTCCCAGGGAAATGGGACTAAGAATGCAAAGGTGGTTAATTGGAGATCAGTGGTAAAGCTTAGCTCCTGTTTATTAAAAAGGGAGCAGGGCTGTGCCCACGTTCAGGACGTGTTTGGCTGACACTTTAGGCTTTATGAATACAAGTTTCTACAAAACCTAGGACGTTCAATTTCATTTAAAATGTAAACAACTTATTCTTATCCGCGGTCCCTGCAGGACTGTGCTCACATGAGAAAACCAGGAAGTGAAATGTATTCGAAACTTTTATAAAACTAATTGTCCCAGCTCAGAGAAATGCAAAAATTGATCAAACAGTGAAAAGAAAATTACATCTAAAATTTCTTTCAATATCTGTATCTGGCTTTGGAGGTGAAAGTGCTCAGTGCTCTTGAAAAAGCAGACCACTTAGGGACCTAAATTCAGTTCCTAACTTGAGTCCCCCAATTTTTAAAGTCTTGGCCTGGGCAAAAAAGCTATGTCTGTCCAGTCACTGTCTCACCTAAGACATCACTGTAATACTGATTCCACTCATCCACCCAGAAATGCAGGAAAAACACATCATGGTAAATATAAAGCAGCAAGTTTGTTATCTTCTCTGTGAAGGACATCCTGTCCGTCAGTCCCCCCGTGCTGGCAGGTACATATGAAGGAGGGGCTGGAAGCCCCCCACACAGCCGCTCCATTGTGTTCCCTTCAGAGAACCGGAAAGTATAGACAAAAGGGATTTCAAGCAACTCTGCTACCAGCTCACCGCCCGGAGAAAGAGGGTCTGAGATTAGCACATCAAACCCTGCTTGCCGGAGCTTTGCTATCAGCCTGGGGTTCAGCACGACACTGTCACAGGTCTGCTTCAACATCTTGATAAAGACTGCCATGCTTTCCACCACTTTCCCCAGGCCCTCCCAGTAGGACAGATGGGGAAGCTCGTACAGCCACAGGTGCAGCAAGTCCTCCATCAGGGCCGCCTTGGTCTCCCTGGTAAAGGGCACTGGCAGGACCTCAAAGTCAAATGGGGAAGAGGACTCATTGTAATCGATGAGTAAACTTGCTGAAGGCGCCAGCACAGTCACATCGTGGCCCCGAAGGGAGAGTTCCTCCAGCACCAGCTTTATGTTGAGCCAGTGACTGGCATCGGTGGGCCAGACCAGCACCTTCCCACAGGATCCTGAGCTCCAGCAGCTCATGTGAACCCACAGCACCAGCAAAAGCCACTTCTTCAACATCATGGCTGCACGTCTGCAACTCTTATCGGAGCTAAGTTCTGTTCCAAAGTCCACAGTGTAAACACTTCTAAGCACAGCCCACAAAGACTGGATCCTGAACGTTCCAATCTTCATATAAGGTCATTTCAATGCAAAATTACCATACGTGGGGACAGACTCAGCAAGTACCAAACTCTGTGGTGGATCACCTACGATTCTCCTACAGAGAAGGCACTGTTCCCTCTGCAGGACAACTGTTGTAACGCAATGTGTGGAGAAGGTGGCTGTGGATGCAGCTGAGGCCTCTTTACAAGGAGAAGGGAGCAATCCATCCTTGGATGATAGCGCATGGGTCACTACATTATCTTTCCACGGGAAACTCTGCATCACCCTTACCGCCTCGCCTGCCCTACTCACAGATCACTGGGGCACAATCAGAGCCAGAGCTTTTTGCATTCAATGCGCAGCGTGATACTGCTAGTGTGCATATAGGTCACAGAGCAGCCATCACACACTCACAGCCTTGAACACGAGCGCCTGTTTTTATCAGGAAGAGGGAAGTTGGTTAGGAACCAGGCTTCTCTGCTTAATGTTCTCTTCAGCGACTCGGGGAATGCCATTTTTGGATCAACCAATTAACCTTTGGGAGTTGAAAAGTGTAACCCTCCTTCTGGTGAAGTTTCCATTCTCAAAGCAGGTAGCTGGCAAACACCCAGCTTCCTCGTTACCTTGCCTGAGGGCAAATGCTGTGTCTGTGGTGTGTTCTCAGAACTAGTCCCAGCCCCCAAACTCAAACAGGTTTAACTACCTCTGTCACGATGCCAACAGATAACTCGTCTCTGGTACGGTTTAGGCAAGTGACAAACTGAAACTGCTACTTCTCTGCACAGGCACCTTTTACTTCAGCTTCTTGTTTGCAGTGAATATTTGCTTTACCTGAGCCACATCTTTAAAGGAAATGTCCACATAATGAATTTGTAAGACCCCTTTTCTTGGCATTTATTGTTAAATGTCTGGTCTTACCCAACTCCTCCAGCTGGCTCATCCAGGCGGCCGCCTTTCACTGTGGTCTGTGACCCTTTGATTTTCTTTTCAAGGCGATTTCACAGATCCTGAAGTCCTTGCTGCAGCTCATCTCTGTTAGCAAGTTCCAAATCGGCCAGAGTTTTCTTGGTCTCCGCTAATTTATGGAAAACCTTCTGGTCTGTAGGTTTCAGAGCGGTAGCCATGTTAGTCTGTATCAGCAAAAACAATGGACTCCTGGTTGTTTCTTCTGGTCTATGGCAGTCAGGTTGCTGATCACTTCACTGATCTGTCTTACTATTGCAAACTGGGAGTGTTGCAACTCCAGTCTGTCCCGACTCTTTGTAGTTGCCACTCCAATAGAGATTTCACCTCTG